GTATACCAAACAAAACACGACTCGTGAAGTCCACGGTAAACAAATACCGACACGGAACAAAAACCCACAACACCCAAGGGAAAACATACAGTTTAAATATGGCTCCCAATCAGAGACAACCCACAACAGCTGACACTCGTTGCCTCTGATTGGGAGCCACTCTGGCCAACATAGACATAGAACAACTAGACACTCAAACACAGCACATAAACACACGGAATCTACACACCCTGACTCAACATATAAAGTCCCCAGAGCCAGAGTGTGACAATATCAATGACGTCGCTCTTGCTGCTGGTGACTCTCAGATCCACCTCTACGCAGACGACACCATTTTGTATACATCTGGCCCTTCATTGGACACTGTGTTAACAAACCTCCAAACGAGCTTCAATTCCATACAACAATCCTTCAGTAGCCTCCAACTGCTCTTAAACACTAGTAAAACTAAATGCATGCTCTTCAACCGAACGCTGCTTGCACCCGCCTACCCGACTAGAATCACTACTCTCGACGGGTCTGACCTAGAGTATGTGGACAACTACAAATATCTAGGTGTCTGGTTAGACTGTAAACTCTCCTTCCAGACTCACATTAAGAATCTCCAATCCAAAGTTAAATCTAGAATCGGTTTCCTATTTCGCAACAAAGCCTCCTTCACTCATGCTGCCAAACATGCCCTCGTAAAACTGACTATCCTACCGATCCTTGACTTCGGCGATGTCATTTACAAAATAGCCTCCAACACTCTACTCAGCAAATTGGATGTAGTCTATCACAGTGCCATCCGTTTTGTCTCCAAAGCCCCATATAATACCCACCACTGTGACCTGTACGCTCTTGTTGGCTGGTCCTCACTACATATTCGTCGCCAAACCCACTGGCTCCAGGCCATCTATAAATCACTGCTAGGCAAATCCCCGCCTTATCTTAGCTCATTGGTCACCATAGCAACACCCACCCGTAGTCTGCGCTCCAGCGGGTATATCTCACTGGTCATCCCCAAAGCCAACACCTCCTTTGGCCGCAATTCCTTCCAGTTCTCTGCTGCCAATGACTGGAACAAATTGCAAAAATCTCTGAAGCTGGAGACACTTATCTCCCTCACTAACTTTAAGCATCAGTTGTCAGAGCACCTTACCGATCACTGCACCTGTACACAGCCCATCTGAAATTAGCCCGCCCAACTACCTCATCCCTATATTGTTATTTATTTTGCTCATTTGTACCCCAGTATCTCTATTTGCACATCATCTCTTGCACATCTATCATTCCAGTGTTAATACTAATTGTAATTATTTTGCACTATAGCCTATTTTATTGCCTTACCTCCATAACTTGCTAAATTTGCACACTGTATATTATATGTATTTCTGTTGTATTTTTGACTTTGTTTTGTTTTACCCCATATGTAACTCTGTGTTGTTGTTTTTATCGCACTGCTTTGCTTTATCTTGGCCAGGTCGCAGTTGTAAATGAGAACTTGTTCTCAACTGGTTTACCTGGTTAAATAAAGGTGAAATTAAAAAAATAAAATAAAATATTCTATACCCTAAGTCTGTCCCTCACAAACTGTTTCCACAAACTGAATGTTGAGTTGCCTTGAGAGCGGTACGGAAACGTTCTGTAACAGTGTTCTGTAAAGGCCTTGTTATATTTGATTCTATGTCTGTCCTACATAAACTGTCCTGCTTTTAGCGGCACCTGAGGAGAACTGATGGCTTATTTAACGTAGATGTAGAGGGGTATAGATGTGAACATGGGTTATGTTGACTCTCGTAGGTTTGTGTTTTCACTGTACAAAGAGATCCCCAGACTACCTTGAAGACTAAAAACATTGAAAAGCCCTATTTTGCTGAAAGTTTGGAGCTTTGGAAGAATCTGAAACAAGGACGTGAGAGCTTACTCTCCCTTTGTCCTTGGGTAATATTCTACCTCTCATAGTCAGGTGACACTTTTACTTTCTGTTTGTCTGTGGTTCTTGGTTTAAAGGAGAGGAAAGATATTTCCCAAGGCTAGCATATTTAACTACTGCGGACTCAAGCTGGTTCCATTTAATGTTCAAGGCAAGACATTTTGCAATAATGGCCCTCTCTAGAAAGACAGATGTCTTCCTCGCTTTTGTCATTTGCAACAGGCGCCGGAATCTTTAAATATTGTGAAAATACTTGATGACTTTATTCACAACGTTATGTGTGTCATGGGAGCCATACGCTGAAGGATGGGGAAAGAGGCAGTAACATTATAGCAATGAGTCAGTCAGTCAGTCAGGCTCTCTCTCTCTCTAATATCAGTCTTAGATGTTAGATGTAAAAGCATGTTTCCACCTATAATCATTGAACGCGACGACAAAGTAATCAGAGTGGCGTTAATGAGACCCTGTTGATTGCAGTACCAGTTTTCAGTATCAGGAGGAAGCTGACTTCATCTAATCATAGGATATGCTCCTGGGTAGCTACTGTACATTGTAAGTACATGTAAATCCCTTATATCAATATTGTAATAACAGATTTGGTTGTTAGAGATTGTTACATTGTAAGTACAAATGTAATTAACAGGGTTATACCTAATGTTCTCCTGTCTCCTAAATTTTTTTTGATTGTTTTCCTAATTTCTCCAGGTAGCCTATTGTCTAGAAAGGTTGTTACATTCTATAGTAATTATAAAGGTTATACCCTACTTAAGTTGCTTGCTCCTAATTACAATATATCCTTTGTAACTACATTGTTCATACATTACACTTGATTCAGTATAGCCTTTGAGCCAGGTCGTAACATAGAAATAAACTAATTGAACATGACAGGTAGCTGATGACAGGTAGATGATGACAGGAAGCTGATGACAGGAAGCTGATGACAGGAAGCTGATGACAGGAAGCTGATGACGGGAAGCTGATGACAGGAAGCTGATGACGGGAAGCTGATGACAGGAAGCTGATGACAGGTAGCTGATGACAGGTAGCTGATGACAGGTAGCTGATGACAGGCTGCTGATGACAGGAAGCTGATGACAGGAAGCTGATGACAGGTAGCTGATGACAGGCTGCTGATGACAGGTAGCTGATGACAGGTAGCTGATGACAGGAAGCTGATGACAGGCTGCTGATGACAAGAAGCTGATGACAGGAAGCTGATGACAGGAAGCTGATGACAAGAAGCTGATGACAAGAAGCTGATGACAGGAGGCTGATGACAGGAGGCTGATGACAGGAAGCTGATGACAGGAAGCTGATGACAAGAAGCTGATGACAAGAAGCTGATGACAGGAAGCTGATGACAGGAAGCTGATGACAGGAAGCTGATGACAGGCTGCTGATGACAGGAAGCTGATGACAGGTAGCTGATGACAGGAGGCTGATGACAGGAAGCTGATGACAGGAAGCTGATGACAAGAAGCTGATGACAAGAAGCTGATGACAGGAAGCTGATGACAGGAAGCTGATGACAGGAAGCTGATGACAGGCTGCTGATGACAGGAAGCTGATGACAGGCTGCTGATGACAGGAAGCTGATGACAGGAAGCTGATGACAGGAAGCTGATGACAGGAAGCTGATGACAGGAAGCTGATGACAGGAAGCTGATGACAAGAAGCTGATGACAGGAAGCTGATGACAGGAAGCTGATGACAGGGTATGCCTTGTTACAATTGTAGTTACCAGGTCCTAGTCTATTTATCAACCTGGTATTACATGTGGATTCAATGGTAATAGCACGTGGTAATTGTTACGTGTAACAAGGTCAGCTTTTGGTTTGAGTTATTAACATGGTAATTCACAGTTGACTTTCAAATGTGTAATTACAAAACTCTAGTTACATTGTGGAACAAGAATAACATCAGTAGTTACACATGTGGAATAACCCTCAGCAAGTGAATATGTAATGACACATTCCTTGTTCCAATTGTGTACTAACTGATCCCTCCACAACCCTATGACCATGTCATGACACAGTAAAACCTATGGAACTACTATGTTGTTAACAGTTTTACTGTTAGTTACATAGTAATAGGGGTGACAAGGTAAAGCTTTACCAAGGTTGGTCATGTTTTGTACCATTTTAAAGTATCATAGCCTTGTCCTTTCCTACTGTCCTATTATCTACCTCATGGTCTCTCTGTCCCTCTGTATTCTTCACCTTCTTTTCTTATCCCTTCATCTCTCTATAGCTCTCAAGCAGCAGAATAACAGATAACCTCTCCTTGAGCTAACCCAGGCCTCCACAAGACAAGCTCGTAACCTTGTCAACCATTGCAAAGAAATACATTTATTTTAGATGGACAATAACACACACACACACGCACACGCACACGCACACACACACACACACACACACACACAAGTACTTCCCTCTACTTTCTCTCTACTAGAACATTGACTTGCAGTACTGATTGCTTGAGGTCATGTATTTATTTGAACCAGCTCCATCCCTAACCCCTGGTGAGAAATTAAATCATAGTTATTTATTAGGATATAAAACTTAAGAGTTTCAGGGAAATAAAAACTAGCTGACAGACAATATTGCATTTCTAACATTGTGCTCAAGCTCCTCCCATTGTCTTCATCCCTTGGGAATGAGGGTGTTACTTGGTAAGTTTGACCACAAAGGTCAATCAAAGTAATTGATAACCTCTTATAGATACAGTGATAAATGAAGCTTTGTCATGTTATGAATCAGACTAACAACACAGCTATAAACATATCGGTTGCGTACCAAATGGCACTCTATTCCCCATTTAGTGCAGTAATATTGACCAGGGCCCATAGTACAGCCCATAGGACTCTGCTCAAAAGTAGTGCACTACATTTACATTTATGTCATTTAGCAGACGCTCTTATCCACTACATAGGGAATAGGGTGGCATTTGGGATGGACGCACAAATATATAATGGGAAGGTGCATTCCACCATAACACCATTCAATATTGTCAATGCCATGGCAGTAGAGACGGGCGGCCTATAGCGTTTTGTTAATGGTCCATCAGTTACAGTTTATGAGCATCTCAAAGCAGAGACAAAGATACCGGTGCCCCAGATGGTCAGGTCATAGATTATTTGCTGTTATATTGATCTGCGAGGAACGGCTATAGAAACATGCCATCAATCTAGCTCAAGTCCTCAACCTTCGCGGAATAAATTAAAAGATGCTGAGCATCAGTGAAAATCGAACAATCTAATAGGACCACCGCTGGTGGCTAGGAGTTTGTACCGTCGTTTGCTTGAAGTTGAGGTGATGAAACAATCAACGGAGATAATAGCCAAGCCACATGCCAAGCACTACTTCACAAGAGTTATTAGGGCTTTGGCAGGGAATATCAGACATTAATGTTGACATCGTGAATAGTTGTAAAATACTATCTCCACTATGTAGGTGTTAACTGTAGGCACACTCATAAAGCATTTATACTTGATTTATTGACAGATTGACTCCCATCTAGACAGCACAGGCAGCACCCCATACCGTTATTGATGCATAGATATTTTGATGGCATACATTTTGTAAACTGTGTATATTTCTCCCACATTTAGTCATGAATCCCCCTCAATGTAATAGGTGAACCTGACGTTGATACGGTCTCTCTCTAGTCTAGCTAACTGCTGTGCATGATGCATAAATGCTGCCATCTGGTGGCAAACTATCAAATTGCGTACTACTGGATTTAACAGAATACATTAGGTATTGGTTAAGATACAGTGAGAGACGTATGCAAAAAGGTGCGTCCTACCTTTATGGTACAAAATATACTGCATTTTCCTGTTTACACATAAAAAACACACAAAGTAAACATAAGGAAGATAAGTATTGTAAAAATGACTAAACATTTTCAAGAAGATCATTCTTCTATGACAGACGGAAGGAAGTTGTTTGTTTTGACAGTCATTGTTTCCAACATACATTCAATAGTGCAAAAAACTTTGGCATTAGCTATAAACACAACACAAACTAATGTACAACAGTAACACAATCTGTCGTCTGAACAATAAATCAACACATTAAAACTGACTGACTGCAGAGCAAAAGTGGTTCTTCAAAGACAATATTCCAGCATGTTTTAAGGACAGAATTGCCCATACCATCAAAGTAACACAGACTTTTCTAAATATATGAAATCGATCAGTGCAAAAAATATGGACGGCTTCATCCACATTAAAGCGAATAAAATCTTTACAACAAAGAAAAGTGTATACAGAGAGAAGGCAATAGTTGAACTGGTTGTAACTATTTCTTAAGTAAACAAATACTGAAACAAAAACTAAAGAACGACAATAAACAACTGAAAACATCCAGAACTCCCATTCATCCTCATCTTTGCTGCATTGTGTTCCACTTATCTTAATATATAAAGGGGAAAGTGCATTTGAGATAAAGCAAACTCCAAAATAGCTTCTGGTCTGTGCCGCCTTCTTCTCTCATGGCACTATGCTGTTCACATTACGGCAGAAAGCTCAGAGTAGCTCTTTGTCAATAGGAGAGGTACAATTTAGCTTAGAAAGACTGTTTCAGTTTAGTCATGTCCTGCAGGCCGGATAAGACCATTGTGGCCAATTCTCCAATATGGATAGCAAGGCCTCTTACATACAGCAGACAGCACTATTAAAGTAGTACCTCATCAGCACTGGAAATACCATATAGCCTACTATATAGATGACTTTGTCCAGAGAAACGCTGAACAAGATATGGGATCTGTAGTGATGACAGTCATTCTTCACACAAACAGTATGTATCTCCAGCATATGAAGTCACCAATGTCCATGTAGTCTCTTCCTTCAACCATGTATCTGTAGACACTGTAGGTGCCCAGTAGGCATGAGACAGAAGACCATGAAATGAAACAGAGCAGGCACTATCTCAACTTGTCCAATAAGAAACACCCATTTTCGTTTTTCCGTTACAAACTGTTTTGCTACATTGCGCTCCAATGAACAGGACCCAGGCTACCATCTGTCTGACCATGACAACACTATAGGACAGTCTGGAGGCCCAGTACATCAGACTACCGTCCATGTGGACGCTGAGCATCTCTGTTGACGTTGGCCAGGCTGTCAGCCAGTCTCTTAGTAAACAGAACATGTGATTTACCACAGTATGAACGGGTAGTCTTCAACAGCTCTTCTTCCAGTGGGACCAGCAGGGAGCTCACAGGATCCTCCCCAAACGAGTACTGAGAAATATAACATTCTGTTATCAAACAGGCCCTAAATCTGATGTCCACAGTTATAGATATCTACTACAGCTATGGACAGAAAATTCATTACATTTTAGTCATTTGGCAGCTCTTATACAGAGCGACTTACAATTATTACAATTCACCATCTTACGATTCACATCATTGTATGCTTTTAAAGTGTGATGAAATAGACGGGCAGTGAAACGTGTTTAATATGTATAAAGCCTAAGAAAGACTTTCTTTTCATTAGAATAAGAGTTCCTGAAGCGGCTGAGGTGTTGTAGAGAGATAAAACCCTCAACGTGGTTAAATCACACTTTATTATCCTCCTCAGTCCAGCTACAGATCCAGAACCAGTCTTCCCCTCTTCCCAATAATGGAAGAACCTTTGCAGCACTCACAGGAAATCAAAGTGAATTACTATTTTACGTCCTCTCATTTGGTTCAGTCCCTGATATTGGGTTACTAAAAGTTAAGGCACACATACCCCCCCCCACCGGTCATAAAGCTCCATTTCCAATGTGTGTATTGTTTTTATGTGGATGATGGAACACTGTGCTAGTGGAGATTGAGCTTGTAAATGTACCATCAGCACTAAAACTTTACTGCTCTTTCCTGGGCCTTGGTTTTACTGTGGCTTTAATACTCTCAGATATTATGTATGAGGTGTGTGTGTGTGTGTGTGTGTGTGTGTGTGTGTGTGTGTTTGTGTGTGTGTGTTTGTGTGTGTGTGTGTGTGTGTGTGTGTGTGTGTGTATGTGTGTATGTGTGTGTGTGTCAGATGTACTGAGAGGCAAAGACACAATATTGACCAGGCATCTTTCTGATAGATGCTCGATGCTTAGTTAATAGGAAAGCAACACAAACCTGGACATTGATGACGTCATTAAACAAATGCCCACTGTAGTCGATATCATTAAAACAACTGATCATTTAGAACACATCCTTATGAGGAAATGTGTTTCACTCAACACTGAAACTTGTGGAGATCTGCATAGAAGAGGTCTGGACACACAAACAAACATTTCCTTACACACCTAATACACAATCAATGAAAGACAATCAAGTTGTTTTCCCATCTGGAAACCCTGATTAGTGATTGTTTGGTTTACCTGTCGTATAGCGTCGTAGACGGCCCTGAAGGCGGGCTATAATACTGCTCTGTGATTGTTTGGTTTACCTGTCATGTGGCGTCGTAGATCTTTGATCGTTTAGCCTACCTGATGTATGGCATTGTAGACAACACTGCTCTGTGATCGTTTAGCCTACCTGTCGTATGACTTTGTAGACAACACTGCTCTGTGATCGTTTAGCCTACCTGTCGTATGGCGTTGTAGACAACACTGCTCTGTGATCGTTTAGCCTACCTGTCGTATGGCGTTGTAGACAACACTGCTCTGTGATCGTTTAGCCTACCTGTCGTATGGCGTTGTAGACAACACTGCTCTGTGATCGTTTAGCCTACCTGTCGTATGGCATTGTAGACAACACTGCTCTGTGATCGTTTAGCCTACCTGTCGTATGGCGTTGTAGTAACACTGCTCTGTGATCGTTTAGCCTACCTGTCGTATGGCGTTGTAGAGAACACTGCTCTGTGATCGTTTAGCCTACCTGTCGTATGGCGTTGTAGACAACACTGCTCTGTGATCGTTTAGCCTACCTGTCGTATGGCGTTGTAGACAACACTGCTCTGTGATCGTTTAGCCTACCTGTCGTATGGCGTTGTAGAGAACACTGCTCTGTGATCGTTTAGCCTACCTGTCGTATGGCGTTGTAGAGAACACTGCTCTGTGATCGTTTAGCCTACCTGTCGTATGGCGTTGTAGAGAACACTGCTCTGTGATCGTTTAGCCTACCTGTCGTATGGCGTTGTAGAGAACACTGCTCTGTGATCGTTTAGCCTACCTGTCGTATGGCATCGTAGACAGCTCTGAAGGCAGGCTGTTTGAGGTCATGGTACACTCCTCTGTTCCCGTGCAGGATAAAGATACCCTCCTCCTCCGCGGAGCCACAGTTACTGCCGTAGATACAGTGGTCTGGACGGTAGTTCCAGTGGCAGGGGACTTCCAACAGACACTCTGGAGGGGGAGAGACTAGGGCTAGTTTAGAGGGGCACAAGTCTAATACTCCTGCTTTTCTCATCACCCTGGAGCTCAGTTGGCATCTCCACACACCTTATTAGCCAGGTAAACAATAAGACAAGACAACACACTGCTGCCCTGGAGGGCTGACGCTGGGATCCCTGCCCCAACTATTCCATTTCAGAGGTTCACGTTTCTAATCATATTGAATGGTGTGTTAAACCAGCTATGTGTTGAGTCTCCTCAGGGTTGTGATGGAAGATGATGCTGAGCAGGTCCTGGTCTCCCCAGGTCATGTTTAGTTTATATGTCGACTATAACAACCCTATACACTGTCTATATGTCATGTATGTCATCATGTGGTGTGATAAGGGAGGAGCTGAGCTGGGAGTCTCACCAGGGTTGTGATGGAAGATGATGTTGAGCAGGTCCTGGTCTCCCCAGGTCATGTTTAGTTTATATGTCGACTATAACAACCCTATACACTGTCTATATGTCATGTATGTCATCATGTGGTGTGATAAGGGAGGAGCTGAGCTGGGAGTCTCACCAGGGTTGTGATGGAAGATGATGTTGAGCAGGTCCTGGTCTCCCCAGGTCATGTTTAGTTTATATGTCGACTATAACAACCCTATACACTGTCTATATGTCATGTATGTCATCACGTGGTGTGATAAGGGAGGAGCTGAGCTGGGAGTCTCACCAGGGTTGTGATGGAAGATGATGTTGAGCAGGTCCTGGTCTCCCCAGGTCATGTTTAGTTTATATTTCTGCAGCAGTGGCATCAGCAGCTCCTCCCACCTCAGACCCACTGACGTCATGTCATTCTGATCACACAGAACAGGACAGGGGGGTGTTACATTGTGTAAAATCGAAGAGCCTGCGCAAACATCTTCATTATGAGTTTTATTTGTCATTCATTCAACAGGGATAATATATTTGTAGAAAATGTCTCTTCTCCTGTCTCTGGATGACATTAAATCTGATTGTATTGCAATGGTGACCTCTGTTGGTCGAAGTTTATATTACCTTGAAGTATGTGGCCCTGATGCGGGTCATGTTCATGAGCATGACCCCAGAGTTGATGCCCGTCCTGCCATAGTAGGGGTGACGGGCGAAGCGGTTGTACCAGGCGATACGTGGCTCCTCGTGCTCCGGCGCCATGGCGGCAAGCTGGGTAGCGTTGAAGTGAACGAGCAGGGACCACAGAGCGTCCACAGGCTGGAGGAACAAGATGTCTGAGTCCACGTAGACTAGAGAGTCCACCTCCTTTAGGATGAGCTGGGGGACAGAGATAGAGGTTAGAGGTCAGAGGCCAGGAACAAGATGTCTGAGTCCACGTAGACTAGAGAGTCCACCTCCTTTAGGATGAGCTGGGGGACAGAGATAGAGGTTAGAGGTCAGAGGTCAGAGGCCAGGAACAAGATGTCTGAGTCCATGTAGACTAGAGAGTCCACCTCCTTTAGGATGAGCTGGGGGACAGAGATAGAGGTTAGAGGTCAGAGGCCAGGAACAAGATGTCTGAGTCCACATAGACTAGAGAGTACACCTCCTTTAGGATGAGCTGGGGGACAGAGATAGAGGTTAGAGGTCAGAGGCCAGGAACAAGATGTCTGAGTCCACCTCCTTTAGGATCAACTGAAGACGACAGAGAGAATCAGAAACACAGACACCTCAGTTAGCAGTGTACACATTTACAGTCACACTTTTAGTCACACTTTTACAGTCACTCTAAGACATTATTTTGAGGCCCTGGAAATCAACATCATGCTAATATTTAATTAAAGAAAATAGTATTTCTCCAGCTATGAAACTCACAGGTAGGAACAGTCTCTGAGAAGCACATGGTTTGAAGAGTTTCTTCCACTCTCCAGCGTTCTCATTGGGGAAGGTGATGGGGTACATAGTGTAGTTAAACCTGGAGCGGAACGGACCTGGCCACGACTCCAACTAAACACAGAACAAGACAAACAGACAGGTGTTATTACATGGAGGTTTAAAAGAGAGAGGCAAACACTCAAATGTTTATAGACAAGATAGATAACCTCTAGGCCACAGGTGTCAGACTCATCCCACGGAGGGCCGAGTGTCTGTGGGTTTTCACTCCTCCCTTGTACTTGAGTGATGAATTAAGGTCACTAATTAGTAAAGAATTCCCCTCACCTGGTTGTCTAGGGCTTAATTGAAAGAAAAAAGAAAACACCTTCCTAATATTGAGTTGCACCCCCTTTTGCCCTCAGAACAGTCTCAATTCGTCAGGGCATGGACTCTACAAGGTGTTGAAAGCGTTCCACAGGGATGCTGGCCCATGTTGACTCCAATGCTTCCCACAGTTGTGCCAAGTTGGCTGGATGTCCTTTGGGTGGTGGACCAGTCTTGATACACACAGGAAATTGTTGAGCGTGAAAAACCCAGCAGTGTTGCAGTTCTTGACACAAACCGGTGCGCCTGGCACCTACTACAATACCCCGTTCAAAGGCACTTAAATATTTTGTCTTGCCCATTCACCCTCTGAATGGCACACATACACAATCCATGTCTCAATTGTCTCAAGGCTTGAAAATCCTTCTTTAACCTGTCTCCTCCCCTTCATCTACACTGATTGAAGTGGATTTAAGTCGCTCTGGATAAGAGCGTCTGCTAAATGACGTAAATGTAAATGTAATTTAACAAGCGACGTCAATAAGGGATCATAGCTTTCACCTGGATTCACCTGGTCAGTCTATGTCATGGAGCAGGTAGCTTAGTGGTTAAGAGCGTTGTGCCAGTAACCGAAAGGTCGCTGGTTCTAATACTCGAGCTGACTAGGTGAAAAATCTGTCGATGTGCCCTTGAGCAAGGCTAATTGCTCCTGTAAGTCGCTCTGGATAAGAGCGTCTGCTAAATGACTCAAATGTAAAGAGCAGGTGTTCTTAATGTTTTGTCCTCTCAGTGTGTACTTCTGATACATCATAAAAGTGTTCATTACATGTGCACTGGACCAAATGGGATTCTGTTGAAGCCTACATGCTAGAGTTGTGATGTAGATGCTATTACATTATCATATTAGGGCATGTAATATTACAACGTCATTATCACATCTCATTACTACCACATTATTATGACTCCAATCATAGGCTATAGGCCTAGTCCTCTATCCAGTCCTACTCACAGCTTCTATAAAGCTGGCGTGCAGCTGGTCTTCAGCAAAGATGTGCAGACACAGTGGTTTGATGCTGAGCATAACAGCAGACTTCAGCATGGTGAGTGTCTCCTCTAGTCTCTGTCCACAGGCCACTACAGCCAGATGCATGGGTGCAGCCGTCCTAACACGGCCCCCTGCTTTCCTCATGATGTACCTGCAAATAAAGAGATTTATGCCAGAGTTAAATCAAAGTTTGTTTAATTTAAAAAGGTTAAAACCTTCCTCTGTCAATGATTTGTGTCAGGTTCACCAACTGGTTCAGCATCTCTTCACTTAGTGCTGTTCTGCTCTTCCAAACAATGAGGGTGGCATGCTTGTAGACTTCTCTTGCCAGGCGAACAGCTCTTTGCCCTGTAATTCCCCTCCTCTCTCCCAACCTCCAAGTCTCATATCTAAAGTAAATATTTGAGAGGGTCTGAGAGGATTTGAAAAGCCAACCAAATGCCTGCCACCGCCAGCTAAACTGAATATTTGACAGAGATCCCTTGCTTGACTGAAGAGGAACAAAGCAGTAAGGTTAGCATTTAAAAGTTGTTGTAGGAGGGAAGAGAAGGGGGGGTTGTTTGTCTAGGCAACCCGATTATCTTGTTTGTCATTCACACTAGTTTGTCAACTGTAACAAACTGTTAAAGGCTATAACCACCCATTTAATTGCACATCCTGGTGTGCATGAATGAAAATAGGGGTTGCTTAGCAACCCAGTAGAGAGACAACTGCAATCTGTTTTCCAAGTATTTTATCTGTTTTCTGAATATTATTTTATAGTGTCAACTGTTTCCAACTATTCCGTGCTAATGCTTTTCTGGTGTAACTACTGACTGATGCCCACATGCGCTTGTCTCAAGACATCTGTAATGTAAACTGGTAGCTCAGCCAGTCACACCTCAAAGGGTTGGTAAAAAGGGTGAAGGAAAACCAATCAGCTATGAAAATAAAGCTGTGTCACTCTTGATGTTGGGGACATTCTCAATAATCAAGGCAAGAAGAAAGATACGTTATTGAACCACCATGCGCGCTAGTGAAACTAGTTCGACCAGTCAACTTCTATGCAGAAAAAAAACGTATGTTTCTTTATTACAGGTACATAAATGCTATATAGAGTTTTTTTTGCCCAGATATATTTTGATATATTTACATGTCTTTGCAAGCAGCAATTGATCTAATGTATTTGTTTGTGCTGGAACTGCAAGTACACAATGGCCATGACCATAGTGAAAGTGGGATAGGATGCAACAAGTTAGCCAGAGGAATTGTTACAATGTGTCTTGTATCTTGTTGTAGCAACATTGTTTCACAAAGAGACAACTTGATGAAAAACACTTTCACCTGATACTATTGTGGAGAACACATATGTCAATGGAGCACATTCCAATACATTGCTTGCAGAGGAAATTATTTTTCACCAGGACAGTTATGCATTCATTTTTTTAAAGCCTTTTGAAGTTTATTACAATCGAATAAGCAGTGTAACTATTACCTAGTGTACCAGTGTTCATCGCCGGGGCCTGTTTTGTCCGGCCCTCGCCTGGTTTCTTGTCCAATGTCCCTTCGCTGAGAGGCCGCGACTCGATGGAGGAAAGTCCTCCCACCCACTCCTCCTCCTCCGACCGACAGATCGAAATAAAATAGTTTACTATACACGTACAAGGCCGAGAACACGGCAAACAACATGCACAAGAGGAATGCACGAATGTAACGCCGCATTATTAAGAGTAAAAGCGCTTTCAAAACTCAAAGTCATGACACAGAACGAAGCTGGCTACCATTCACACTGCAGGCAAGACGCTGTTCTGTGAGAACCGTTGGGGGAAGGGAGGAGTATAAATAAAAGTGAATCCCCTTCCCCGTCTGTGTGTGACTGAGAAGTAGGCTATACAATAAATATACTTTTCAAACCCACATTCATGAGGAAATATCAGAGCATCCTTCTGATATTACTGATATTATGTTTTTATTGTTGGCCTATGATAAATGAAACTGCATTTTATTTTATGGGTTCGGTGGTTAGAGATTATCCACTAGATGGCGCTATCGGTGGTGTTAAAAAGCCTGGCTTTTCATCCTTGATTGCCTTTGTCTGGCCCACTCCAGTGGCTATGTCGTAGGATCGGACTACTCTATCTACAGCGCCTTCAGGAAGTATTCACACCCCTTGACTTTTTCCACATTTTGTTGTGTTACAGCCTGAATTTAAAATTGATTAACTTCAGATTGTGTCACTGGCCTACACACAGTAGCCCATAATGTCAAAGTGTAATTATGTTTTTAGAAATGTTGACAAATTAATAAAAAAATGAAAAGCTGAAATGTCTTGAGTCAATAAGTATTAAACCCCTTTGTTTTGGCAGGCCTAAATAAGTTCAGGAGTAAAAATGTGCTTAACAGGTCACCAAATAAATTGCATGCACTCTGTGTGCAATAACAGTGTTCAACATGATTTTTGAATGACTACGTCATCTCTGTACCCCACACATACAGATAATTGTAAGGTCCCTCAGTCGAGAAGTGAATTTCAAACACAGATTCAACCATAAAGATCAGGGAGGTTTTCCAATGCCTCGCAAAGAAGGGCACCTATTGGTAAATGGGTAAAAATCTAATAAAAAACAGATATGATATCCCTTTGAGCATTGTGAAGTTATTAATTACACTTTGGATGGTGTATCAACACACACAGTCACTACAAAGATACAGGTGTCCTTCCTAACTCAGTTGCCGGAGAGGAAGGAAACCGCACAGGGATTTAACCACGGGGCCAATGGTGAATTTAAAACAGTTACAGAGTTTAATGGCTGTGATAGGAGATAACTGAGGATGGATCAACAACATTGTAGTTACTCCAACAATATTAAGCTAAATGACAAAGTGAAAAGAAGGAAGCTTGTACAGAATAAAATGCATCCTGTTTGCAATAAGGCACTAAAATAAAACAGCATAAAAGGTACAAAGAAATGAACTTTGAACCTGAATACGAAGTGTTATGTTTGGGGCAAATCCGACACAACACATCAGAGTACCACTCCTCATATTTTCAAGCATGGTGGTGGCTGCATCATGATATTGGTATGCAGGTCATCGGCAAGGGCTAGACTTGAAAATGTCTGTCTAGCAATGATCAGATCAACAACCAACTTGACAAAGCTTGAATAATTTTTAAAAGAATAATGTGCAAATATTGCACAATCCAGGTGTGCAAAAGCTCTTAGAGATTTACCCAGAAAGACTTACAGCTGTAATCACTGCCAAAGGTGATTCTAACATGAATTGACACAGGAGGGTTGAATACTTATCTAATCAAGATATAGTGTTATTTTTCATTTTTATATATATATACACAGTGGTGTGAAAAAGTGTTTGCCCCTTTCCTGATTTTTGTCACACTTAAATGTTTCAGATCATCAAACAAATTTAAATATTAGTCAAAGATAACAGAAGTAAACACAAAATGCAGTTTTGAAATGAAGGCTGTTATTATTAAGGGAAAACAAAATCCAAACCCACATGGCCCTGTGTGAAAAAGTGATTGCCCCCTACAACCTAATAACTGGTTGGGCCACCCTTAGCAGCAACAACTGCAATCAAGCGTTTGCGATAACTTGCAATGAGTCTTTTACCGCGCTATGGAGGAATTTTGGCCCACTCATCTTTGCAGAATTGTTGTAATACAGCCACATTGGAGGGTTTTCGAGCATGAACTGCCTTTTTAAGGTCATGCATTACATTACACGTACATTTTAGTCATTTAGCAGACGCTCTTATCCAGAGCGACTTACAGTTAGTGAATACATATTTTTTTATACTGGCCCCCCGTGGGAATCGAACCCACAACCCTGGCGTTGCAAACGCCATGCTCTATCAACTGAGCTACATCCCTGCCGGCCATTCCCTCCCCTACCCTGGACGACGCTGGGCCAATTGTGCGCCGCCCATGAGTCTCCCGGTCGCGGCCGGCTGCGACAGAGCCTGGATTCGAACCAGGATCTCTAGTGGCACAGTTAGCACTGCGATGCAGTGCCTTAGACCACTGCGCCACTCAGGAGTACATGCCACAGCATCTCAATAGGATTCAGGTCAGGACTTTGACTTGGCCACTCCAAAGTCTTCATTTTGTTTGTCTTCAGCCATTCAGAGGTGGACTTGCTGGTGTGTTTTGGATCATTGTCCTGCTGCAGAACCCAAGTTCGCTTCAGCTTGAGGACACGAACAGATGGCCGGACATTCTCCTTCAGGATTTTTTGGTAGACAGCAGAATTCATGGTTCCATTTATCACAGCAAGTCTTCCAGGTCCTGAAACAGCAAAACAGGCCCAGACCATCACACTACCACCACCATATTTTACTGTTGGTATGATGTCCTTTACTGAAATGCGGTGTTACTTTTACGCCAGATGTAATGGGACACACACCTTCCAAAAAGTTCAACTTTTGTCTTGTCAGTCCACAGAGTATTTTCCCAAAGGTCTTGGGGAACATCAAGATGTTTTCTGGCAAAAATGAGACGAGCCTTAATGTTCTTTTTGCTCAGCAGTGGTTTTCGTCTTCGAACTCTGCCATGCAGGCCATTTTTGCCCAGTCTCTTTCTTATGGTGGAGTCATGAACACTGACCTTAACTGAGGCAAGTGAGGCCTGCAGCTCTTTGGATGTTGTTGTGGGGTCTTTTGTGACCTCTTGGATGAGTCGTCGCTGCGCTCATGGGGTAATTTTGGTCGGCCAGCCACTCCTGGGAAGGTTCACCACTGTTCCATGTTTTCGCCATTTGTGGATAATGGCTCTCACTGTGGTTCGCTGGAGTCCCAAAGCTTTAGAAATGGCTTTATAACCTTTTCCAGACTGATGGATCTCAATTACTTTCTTTCTCATTTGTTCCTGAATTTCTTTGGATCTCGGCATGATGTCTAGCTTTTGAGGATCTTTTGGTCTACTTCACTTTGTCAGGCAGGTCCTATTTAAGTGATTCCTTGATTGAGAACAGGTGTGGCAGTAACCAGGCCTGGGTGTGGCTAGAGGAATTGAACTCAGGTGTGATAAACCACAGTTGAGTTGTGTTATAACAGGGGGGGGCAAACACTTTTTCACACAGGGCCATGTAGGTTTGGATTTTGTTTTCCCTTAATAATAACAACCTTCATTTCAAAACTGCATTTTGTGTTTACTTGTGTTATCTTTGACTAATATTAAAATTTGTTTGATGATCTGAAACATTTAAGTGTGACAAACATGCAAACAAATAACAAATCAGGAAGGGGCAAACACTTTTTCACACCACTGTATATATATATATATATTTTTTTTTACAAATGTTAGAAATGTTCTTCCACTTTGACAGAGGATTTTGTGTAGATCGTTGACACAAAATTACAAATTAATCAATTTTAATCCCACTCTGTAACAACAAAAAGTCAAGGTGTGAATACTTTCTGAAGGCAGTGTACATCATGTCAATTGTTTCAGTGAAACACCGTGGCTAGAATTGCTTTCACTACTTACCCATTATCGGTCATCAATGATCATCCAAACATACATTCCCTAGAACACTGGGTCATATCCAGGGCAAGCCGTTAAAGTCTATATCTCTATTGTTATAGAACATGGAAGAAAGGCAGAAAGCAGAACTCTTTTCCAATACATAATTCCATTATTTATATCTTTCTTTATAGACATTGAACCATGTAATCAACCAAGTTGTCCATACATTTCTAAACAGCAAAGCTTGGCAGAAACAAAACAAATGATGTAACGGTGAATGTCGTGATACAGTATAATCAATCATTTCAGGTGGTGTTAAAACTGATACAATTCAAAAACAGAATATTTTCTCAAGAATGATAAAACCACACCAGGTCCCAGCTGATGTAGTGAGTCAATGACAATACAATTCAGTCTCCATCACATGCAATCAATAAATGACACTTTACAATTGAGACATGTACCAAAAGAGAGCCCATAGGTTTTCCATCCTCTCCGCATGTACCTCATGTTTTCTCCCATAATGCAACACAAACTGAAGAACTCTGAACCATAATCATCATGTCACGACAGTTCTCATTGGACAGGGGGTTGAAAGTTGAGATGTTGACATGGATAATAACACTGATGTGATGTTATAATACTAGCACATTAAAACAGAGCTGTACAATAGGCTAAGATCAGCTAAATGGAAGGACATGACTTCCTGTTTAGAACAGTTTAGAACACAGGTTTCAAAAAGAGTCAGTTAAATTCACCTAAAGTTAATCAGAGAAATGTCATTAAAACAAACCTTCAGATTCTGGTGTTTTTTGTCCAAAAGCCATCCGCAACTCAAGGTCGGTAATGGATCTAACTTGGAACGGTTTCGTCTCGTCCATCTTGCTAGCTATGACCTGTAGCTGCTAAATGTGTTGATCTAGCTATAACCTATAGCTAGTACTACAGTAAATGTGCATGTCCAGAGATAACATTACATATCAGAGTTGAGGACAGAGGAGTGCGGTTAGAGTGGCCTATGTTAAGCCATGAGTTTGGTCCAGGCCAAGGTCTAGGGGTTGGGGGTCCAGGCCAAGGTCTAGGGGTTGGGGGTCCAGGCCAAGGTCTAGGGGTTGGGGGTCCAGGCCAAGGTCTAGGGGTTGGGGGTCCAGGCCAAGGTCTAGGGGTTGGGGGTCCAGGCCAAGGTCTAGGGGTTGGGGGTCCAGGCCAAGGTCTAGGGGTTGGGGGTCCAGGCCAAGGTCTAGGGGTTGGGGGTCCAGGCCAAGGTCTAGGGGTTGGGGGCCCAGGCCAAGGTCTAGGGGTTGGGGGCCCAGGCCAAGGTCTAGGGGTTGGGGTCCAGGCCAAGTCTAGGGTTGGGGGGGTCCAGGCCAAGGTCTAGGGGTTGGGGGTCCAGGCCAAGGTCTAGGGGTTGGGGGTCCAGGCCAAGGTCTAGGGGTTGGGGTCCAGGCCAAGGTCTAGGGGTTGCGGGTCTGAGGGTCTGGCGTTCCAGATGTTGGGCTAGGAGTTTGGGGGTCCAGGGCCTCCAAATTGGAGGTCAAGGGGTGGAGGTTCTGGGGTTCCAAGGGGGGTGGTCTAGTGGGACTCTGTCCCGACTAAGAAGTCCTCTCCTCGGGGTGAAGATGACCGTGAGACCCCTCTCTCAGCGTTGTTGTCTGAGCTGGAGCCACTGTGGTGTTCTGCAGACACAGACACAGTGCTGGAGGGGGTGGTAGAGGAGGGAGGTGTGGTGGTGGTGGAGGAGGAGGAGGGGGGAGGTTTGGTTTTCTCCTTAAAGTCTGTGATGATGACAGTCAGGTCTCCAACCGTGACCTCTAAGTGCTGAGCGCTACTCCTGTCAATGTTTTTTAATCTGGGCCTGAGGGCGGGAGAGGAGACAGAGGAGAGGAGACAGAGGAGAGGAGACAGGTGGATGTTATAAACCTTTGACAGAGAGAGCGAGAAGGATAGGGGTAAACCACACAAACTGGAGCGCTTATGAAATATGTGGAAACCACATACATTTTTACTATCATACTACTTTGATATTACTACATTGACACTATTCATCCTAGTAATAGTCCCATTATCATACTAATAATAATAAACACTATCATGCTACTACTAATAAGAAACACCATCATACTACTACTAATAAGAAACACCATCATACTACTACTAATAAGAAACACCATCATACTACTACTAATAAGAAACACCATCATACTACTACTAATAAGAAACACTATCATACTACTACTAATAGAAACACCATCATACTACTACTAATAAGAAACAACCATCATACTACTACTAATAAGAACACCATCATACCTACTACTAATAGAAACACCATCAATCATCATACCTACTACTAATAAGAAACACCATCAATACTACTACTAATAAGAAAACAACCATCATACTACTACTAATAAGAAACACCATCATACTACTACTAATAAGAACACCATCATACTACTACTAATAAGAAACACCATCATACTACTACTAATAAGAAACACCATCACACTACTACTAATAAGAAAACACCACATCATACTACTAATAAGAAACACCATCATACTACTACTAATAAGAAACACCATCATACTACTACTAATAAGAAACACCATCATACTACTACTAATAAGAAACACCATCATACTACTACTAATAAGAAACACCCATCATACTACTACTAATAAGACAACACCATCATACTACTACTAATAAGAAACACATCATACTACTACTAATAAGAAAACACCATCATTAACTACTTATAATAAGAAACACCATCACACTACTACTAATAAGAAAACACCATCATACACTACTATAATAAGAAACACCATCATACTACTACTAATAAGAAACACCATCATACTACTACTAATAAGAAACACCATCATACTACTACTAATAAGAAACACCATCAACTACTACTAAAAACATCATACTAATAAGAAACACCATCATACTACTACTAATAAGAAACACCATCATACTACTACTAATAAGAAACACCATCATACTACTACTAATAAGAAACACCATCATACTACTACTAATAAGAAACACCATCATACTACTACTAATAAGAAAACAACCATCATACTACTACTAATAAGAAACACCATCATACTACTACTAATAAGAAACACCATCATACTACTACTAATAAGAAACACTATCGTACTACTACTAATAGGAAACACCATCATACTACTACTAATAAGAAACACTATCATACTACTACTAATAAGAAACACCATCATACTACTACTAATAAGAAACACCATCATACTACTACTAATAAGAAACACCATCATACTACTACTAATAAGAAACACCATCATACTACTACTAATAGAAACACCATCATACTACTACTAATAAGAAACACCATCATACTACTACTAATAAGAAACACCATCATACTACTACTAATAAGAAACACCATCATACTACTACTAATAAGAAACACCATCATACTACTACTAATAAGAAACACCATCATACTACTACTAATAAGAAACACCATCATACTACTACTAATAAGAAACACCATCATACTACTACTAATAAGAAACACCATCATACTACTACTAATAAGAAACACCATCATACTACTACTAATAAGAAACACCATCATACTACTACTAATAAGAAACACCATCATACTACTACTAATAAGAAACACCATCATACTACTACTAATAAGAACACCATCATACTACTACAATAAGAAACACCATCATACTACTACTAATAGGAAACACCATCATACTACTACTAATAAGAAACACCATCATACTACTACTAATAAGAAACACCATCATACTACTACTAATAAGAAACACCATCATACTACTACTAATAAGAAACACCATCATACTACTACTAATAAGAAACACCATCATACTACTACTAATAAGAAACACCATCATACTACTACTAATAAGAAACACCATCATACTACTACTAATAAGAAACACCATCATACTACTACTAATAAGAAACACCATCATACTACTACTAATAAGAAACACCATCATACTACTACTAATAAGAAACACCATCATACTACTACTAATAAGAAACACCATCATACTACTACTAATAAGAAACACCATCATACTACTACTAATAAGAAACACCATCATACTACTACTAATAAGAAACACCATCATACTACTACTAATAAGAAACACCATCATACTACTACTAATAAGAAACACCATCATACTACTACTAATAAGAAACACCATCATACTACTACTAATAAGAAACACCATCATACTACTACTAATAAGAAACACCATCATACTACTACTAATAAGAAACACCATCATACTACTACTAATAAGAAACACCATCATACTACTACTAATAAGAAACACCATCATACTACTACTAATAAGAAACACTATCATACTACTACTAATAAGAAACACCATCATACTACTACTAATAAGAAACACCATCATACTACTACTAATAAGAAACACTATCATACTACTACTAATAAGAAACACCATCATACTACTACTAATAAGAAACACCATCATACTACTACTAATAAGAAACACCATCATACTACTACTAATAAGAAACACCATCATACTACTACTAATAAGAAACACTATCACACCTCTACTACTAATAATAATAATCATCATACAGGTTAAATGCAACAGGTTCATGATAAACAGTTATGTTGTTTATTTGTAAATGCTAACCTCATCTTCTTGTGGCTGTTCTTCTTCACTGTGGGCTCTTTGTCATTCCTCTCCGCTCTGTCCTTCCTGTCCTTCTTGGGCAGCAGCGTGGGCGAGGCGAACTGTGGCGCTACCTGCTGAGCAACCAGCTGGGAGACAGGACGAGGCTTCCTGTAGGAGCACACCGCACCATTAGTGAGACAGGACGAGGCTTCCTGTAGGAGCACACCGCACCATTAGTGAGACAGGACGAGGCTTCTTGTAGGAGCACACCGCACCATTAGTGAGACAGGACGAGGCTTCCTGTAGGAGCACAACGCACCATTAGTGAGACAGGACGAGGCTTCCTGTAGGAGCACACTGCACCATTAGTGAGACAGGACGAGGCTTCCTGTAGGAGCACACCGCACCATTAGTGAGACAGGACGAGGCTTCCTGTAGGAGCACACCGCACCATTAGTGAGACAGGACGAGGCTTCCTGTAGGAGCACACCGCACCATTAGTGAGACAGGGAAGCATTTAGCGAGCAAAACAAATGTGTTATATTTACAAACTATCTAGGACTTAGCAGTTTCTAAGCCATTTATAAACCCTTTATAAAGTGTACCTTAAATGTAAAGTGTCGACGATAACTGGTTGGAAAAGCTGGAAACTTGGATACAGCATTCAACATTGAGCCCCATCTCAATGTTGCACAATGACATCCCATACCAAGTAAAAAGACGTAAGCAGTGACCACTAGCCACCCAGCTTAATACTTCAGACATACAGCAGCAGCCAAACCACCTCTCTGAAGAAGCTCCATCTCCATTTCCTCCTCTGTCTAAACGCTTCACAACAACATGCATTATGCCGTTATTGGAGTAGCACTGTATGTATGAGCTGCCAGGTCCTGTACGTTAAGCCTGCTTCTTCAGGGACGGACAAATCACTAGTGTGAATGCCAGCCCAGCCCACAGTGCTGACAGACCCATCTGTTGTTGGGGAGATTACTACTGTACTGACTGCATAGTGATCTTTCCTTTCAGTGGATCCCTCTCTAGAACAAAACACACACACACACAAGCATGAAAGTGTGCGCGCACACACACACACACACACACACACACACACACACGCTGACATTTCACAGATGAGTCCTCGAGGCATGCAACATTTTGCACATTTTGTACGAAATTCCCCACCAGGAGAATAATTGTCATCAGCTTATCTCTAGTACAGTTCCAATCACGCTGTAGAAAGACGGAGAAACAGTTTAGCCTAGAAATACTCATTTTTCTGCAGTGCTTATTATCAGTATGCTTATCTGGGATGGATCTATTTAGCAATTGAAGTAATACTCTCAAATAGACAAGAGTACTTAGCAAATGGAACAGTACTTGACTTTCTCACACACAGAAAACATGACAACTACAGCCAGACTGAGTTGCAAAGGGAAGAGGAAAGCATTGTTAAGTTTAGATTACCATAATGGCCTCAATTATCCTACAGCCTGCAAAAGCTACTTTCAAGTGTTGTTATGAAAATCCCCTTACAGTAACTGCATCAAGGCCAGCAAGCATTTAAAATGTAAATGTATCTCATGGCCTATATACTGCCAGAGACACAGAGATAGAGGGAGCGAGAGAGAGAGAGAGAGAGAGAGAGGGGGGGGGGGGGGGGGGAGAGAGAGGGGGGGGGGGGGGAGAGAGAGAGAGGGGGGGAGAGAGAGGGGTGGGAGAGAGAGAGAGAGAGGGTGGGAGAGAGATAGAGAGGGGGGTGGGAGGAGAGAGAGACGAGAGGGGGGTGGGAGGAGAGGAAGGGAGGGAGAGTAGAGAGGGGGGGAGAGAGAGAGAGAGAGGGGGTGGGAGAGAGAGAGAGAAGAGAGAGAGAGAGAGAGAGAGAGGGGGTGGGAGAGAGAGAAGGGAGGGAGAGAGAGAGAGTCACAGCACAGCCCACCACGGAGCTAACCAATGCTGACAACTTCAAATCAGCCGGAGAACAATCTCTCAGTAATAACATAATTCATGTTGTTGTGCATTGAAAATCATCTCTGTCCCGACTCCCCAAACACATTGGTATGGATGATGGGAGGGATTGGTTTCAATTGCTGCAGGGTGATAGTGGAGCCTGCTGCCAGGACTGGTACTGTCATGTTGTACAGAGGTGGAGTGGTTAACAGAGCAGAGCAGTTAACCCAATCAGAGGTTATTAAGAAAGCACGTACTATAGGCCTCCAGTATGTGTGTGTTCTCCAGTATTGGCCTAGCATTTACACACTACATCAGGTTGGTCTGAGGCATTGATTCCAATAGGAATTCCTCAGTGTCTGGCTCGGCGCGCTAGCTTATGTTCTGACATTAATGCTGTGTGTTGGAACCGTTGTGTAGGAGTGTGATTTTCAATCAATAGCCCACTCCCCAAATCCATTCTAGAATGGTTAATGGAGTCAGCCACTATGAAAGTAGGACATTAAGGCAAAGGGGGGTTTAAATAAATGCACCAAATAGCAGCCAGACATAGTGGATTTCCTTTCAGCCAGCAAAGATAAATAATTATGATATTAATAATACATTTCTATCTTTAATCACTGTCTCTACACTGTCCTGACACTTTATATTATTGTTGAATCAATTGGTAGATCTTTAATTGAAATGACTAATGAAAAGAAGTAGCCTAAATATGTATCTCTCTCTCTGCACACTGTGGTATTTGACCCAATGGATTTGTTTTGGAAATGTTCGTGGATCTGTGTAATCTGAGGGAAATATGTGTCTGTAATATGGTTATACATTTGGCAGGAGGTTAGGAAGTGCAGCTCAGTTTCCACCTCATTTTGGGGCAGTTGGAAGTCTCTCTACTCTCTACCATCTCTCTATCATATCTCGTCTGACTTCGCTCTCACTCGATCGATATAATCTATAGCTATGATATCTATCTCATACGCTACGTAGCTCAGCTCTACTCTCTAGCCAGGATTATACTCATACTCTCTCTTCTCTATCTCTCTCTCTTCTCTCTCTCTCTCTCTCTCTCTCTCTCTCTCTCTCTCTCTCTCCTCCCCCCACTATCTGTCAGCCTCTCTAATGATGGTGGTATACAGTCATGTTGAAACCAGGACCTGCCATCATCAACACCATGGGTCCTGATGACTCATTCCCCCAGGCATAACAGTGGTGTCTCACAGGGCTGCTGTTACACCAGAGCTGGCTGACGCTTTCAGCTCTCAACGTGTTGTACTGCTGCAGCATGCCTCTCATGAGGTCAACCTGAAATCATGTAGTCTTCTCTCATTCTTTAACACAGTACACACAAAAACACCAGTGCCCCTTAGACCACTTAAAACATAGTGCAAGTCATTGCCAATATGTAACATTTAAAAAAGCTATCCATCTAGAGAGTGTTAGATTAAAGACTAATGAAAGATTAGCCCCAGATCTGTTGGAGCGTTGGCCACCTGACTATCATTGTCATGCCATGGACAACGAGAGGAGTTGGCACATACAGATCTGGGATCAGCCCCGTGTAAGCTGAATAATGCAGTGTTAATCAGAGCAGAGCAGGAGTCCTCTGTCCTCCCACAGATCAGTCAATCTACAAGCTCAGTGTTCTGTCACGTCTCCCTTTCAGCAGGTTGGTGTGTGTGTGTGTTACTCCTCCTGGGATAGGATCCAGTGATATGATGAATGTCTCTCCCTGCCAGAACATGCTACTGCCATACTGCTCTCCATTGGAGCTGTGTGTGTGTGTGTGTGTGTGTGTGTGTGTGTGTGTATGTGAGAGAGAGAGAGATTGCTCTCTGCCTCCTATAGTTTATGGCACCTCCACAGCCTTCAGCCCACTACGCCCTAGAGCAACACCCCCCCACTCAGTTTATATTTATATATACACACGTACATTGGCATTCTATTCTATGTTGCATCACTACTGCTTGGACAGCGTACAGTAGTTTAGTATGGTGTAGTTGTATGGATAAAAAGAAGGCTTACATGCACTGGGTGGAGAATATCTGTATGTATGCCCCATGCTTGGTGGAGGCAGATGCCCACGCAGTGTCCTGTACAATTTACATAATATAATATCCACGGCTTAAAGTCTGAAATAGCCATAGGTAAACAGTATAATATAACATTCACTGCTGAAAGTCTGAAATAGCCATAGGTAAACAGTATCGACATGACACCTGTATTTTCAGTACAACAGACCTTTTCTCCAGAGAGGTCCTGCTTGGAGTGTGTGTATGGAGTGTGTGTGTGCATGGAGCGTGTTATACGAGGAGGCCTCAGGTAAAGTTCAGTAAATATCCTATCACGCTTTCTGTCTAAACTTGTGGAAATATACTAGCATAATATTGGCTACAGTAGAATCATGACTGTTCCTTCCCTTGGGCTGAAAGTGTCAGAGAACTCATTAGTGGACAGCTGGTGGGTTGGAAGGTCAAATACAATTTGGTCTTTACACACCCAGTTATTAGACTGCTATCCGGACGGCTAATGTTTGGATAGCGCCGTTTCTAACAGTTGTCTATCAGCAGTTACTGTACACCACCCTTTCCTGAAGAGTGTTTCATTGTTTTCTAATGACTAGAAGCCAGAGCAGTGAGAGCACTGTAATAACTTGGTGTGTCTCCTCTCTAATGGCTGTAAAACGCTTGAATGCAGATTCTGATAATCATTAAAGAATGGCGTGCAATTTGCCTTCCTGTATTCATCTCATATTGTGGCTAATGGCGTCTCTTTAATTGCCTGGCAATAACGCGTGGCGCAGTGTTTACTGCCGTGCCAATTTAACCGCACGTCACAGGCTCTTTTGTCATGTTCGTTTTGGTTACCCCCTCTCTTATGTCATGTTAGTTTTGGTTACCCCCTCTCTTTTGTCATGTTCGTTTTGGTTACCCCCTCTCTTTTGTCATGTTAGTTTTGGTTACCCCCTCTCTTTTGTCATGTTAGTTTTGGTTACCCCCTCTCTTTTGTCATGTTAGTTTTGGTGACCCCCTCTCGTTTGTCATGTTAGTTTTGGTTACCCCCTCTCTTTTGTCATGTTCGTTTTGGTTACCCCCTCTCTTTTGTCATGTTCGTTTTGGTTACTCCCTCTCTTTTGTCATGTTAGTTTTGGTTACCCCCTCTCTTATGTCATGTTAGTTTTGGTGACCCCCTCTCGTTTGTCATGTTAGTTTTGGTTACCCCCTCTCTTTTGTCATGTTAGTTTTGGTTACCCCCTCTCTTTTGTCATGTTAGTTTTGGTTACCCCCTCTCTTTTGTCATGTTAGTTTTGGTTACCCCCTCTCTTTTGTCATGTTCGTTTTGGTTACCCCCTCTCTTTTGTCATGTTCGTTTTGGTTACTCCCTCTCTTTTGTCATGTTAGTTTTGGTTACCCCCTCTCTTATGTCATGTTAGTTTTGGTGACCCCCTCTCGTTTGTCATGTTAGTTTTGGTTACCCCCTCTCTTTTGTCATGTTAGTTTTGGTTACCCCCTCTCTTTTGTCATGTTAGTTTTGGTTACCCCCTCTCTTTTGTCATGTTAGTTTTGGTTACCCCCTCTCTTTTGTCATGTTAGTTTTGGTGACCCCCCTCTCTTTTGTCATGTTAGTTTTGGTTACCCCCTCTCTTTTGTCATGTTAGTTTTGGTTACCCCCTCTCTTTTGTCATGTTAGTTTTGGTTACCCCCTCTCTTTTGTCATGTTAGTTTTGGTGACCCCCCTCTCTTTTGTCATGTTAGTTTTGGTTACCCCCTCTCTTTTGTCATGTTAGTTTTGGTTACCCCCTCTCTTTTTTCATATTAGTTTTGGTTACCCCCTCTCTTTTGTCATGTTAGTTTTGGTTACCCCCTCT